CAACCCCCCCCCCCCCCCGCAGTTCCCCACTGGAGAAGAGGCCTGAACCTTGCCGCGCATTGTGTGAGGCTGCACAGGAGGCCGTCGCGCAGGCCACTTCGGTGCTGAAGGCGGAGCAGCACTGAAGTCGATTGCCAGACTTCTTGTTCAGTGCGTAGCAAGCACAGAGAACTCACAACGCTCTAGCAACTCTAGCACCCAGACAGCTACAACGACTGAAGAATTGAATGCCGGATGCTGAGTCACCCGAAGGCCTTTTACGAGAAGGCGGGCCAGGCGACATCGGATCGGAGCAGCGTTTGCTTGCGGGCGATCAACGGAGCCGACTCAATCGTTGTACATTGTCGTTGTCTTTGGCCTTTTGAACTGATTCGCTTCTCCTGGTCCGGCGATTTGTGATCAAGGTCCAGGTGTTTCTTGATCACACCTCTCCATCACTCCTCCCTTCTGAGTTCTCTGCATATAACCGGTGCCAGGCCACGGCTCTTGTACAAGTGGGCTCTGGCAAGGCCGAGAGCAGTGAGTAGTGGCTGGTAGGCATGCGTTAGGCATTGCCCCAGATGTCGCCACGCCTCAACATGCCTTCGTGCCTGCAATGCCAGGCATCGGATATGCTCGGAGCTTATGCTGTAGCTTCTGCACGTAGGCAGCACAGAAGGCATGTCATCAACAGAAATGCAGACTTGCAAGTTCTGCCCGATGCTGCGCGAATGAGTCGAGATGTCGGTGTTTGTCAGGTCTGGCCAACCTGCCATCTTCGACACGCCCTGACCTGAGAGTTACGAAATCACCGATCTGTGCCCGCGACGCTACCTAACTCTCGTCGTACCTAGCTCTCGTCGCTGCCCTAACTTCAGCCTTCGGAGATGTTTCAGGTCGTACAATGGCATGAGCAGCAAGAGCGGGGGCGTCCTCGACATGCTCCAGGCACGTTTCTGGCAAGGTCGCAATTTGAAGGGCACAACTTTGCCAGGAGCCTTGCTCTTTTGCTTACTTTCCTAAGTCGCCGGTATTTTTCGGAAGGTCATCGCTGCAGACTTCGCCAAGCTTGAGGCGGAGACAAGCTCGGAGGAGGCCAAGTCGGTATGAGCAGTTTTACATTCCTAACATGATTCTAGTGATTTCGTAGTACCCATCGTCATCTTTCGGTCTATGGGTTAGCAGCTGCAGGGAACCACTAATGCTTCTTGTGGTTCGGGAAACGAAGCGAATTTTGCAGGTGAGCTGTTGTGTCTTGTCCAAACTAGGCATCTGGTGTGCTAGGTTTGATAATATAACATTCTTACTGCGGGATGAGTTGAGCGTGTTGACATACTTGATCTCAGTTACAGTATTACTGCTTTGGACACTCAGTGCTGCTTGCATGTTTCACTTGCAGGATACTGCATCACGAGTACCAGTCGTGATCATTACTCCGGGATTTATGGGATGTGGTACTTGTCGGTGTATCAGGACAGTGTCAAGACGAGTAGGACATAACTTTTTGCTGCGAGGAGTAGCAGTGATACGACATTGGCAATCTGGCTCGGTTAGTATTTTGTACAAAGTGTGATCGTTTCGCATGCTAACTTTCTTCAGTGTTAGAGAAAGCATCCTCGCCTGTCTTCTTGATGCTGGTAAAGCTTTTGTCTGGGCTTTTCTTCGCATTGTCAGCTTCGTTCGTGCTTGCAGTTCAATTCTGATGTTGCGGCAAATTCAAGTCCCGGAAAGCGCACTCCAGGATTGTAAAGTCGGTTCGAACGAATACTGCCATGCTGTGGATCAGCTTTCGATTTCGTGATTTCCTCGTATATTGTGACTTTCGTTCTACGTTTGAGCCCTGAAATTCCTCGAGGGACGTGCAGTCTCCGGTCAAAGGAGCGGACACCCCTCGGGCCTTTTTTGACAGGAGTCCAGCCAGGCCGAGTACGACAAGTTCATCTTTGAGTCCAAGGTGGGGGCCTCGAAAAAGCCCAAGTTTACAGCGCAAGTTCGCCTGAAGTTGCCGTAGAAGGAGAGCGAGGCGATGCTCTGAGGGCGATGCCGATGGCATGTGCTCAATGTCTCTGTCCGGTATGTGTGCACTGTAAAGCCTGCGCACGACCCTGCTCCGCAGGTGAACAAAAAGCAGATGGAGGTTGACATCAAGCACAAGAAGGTGGTGGGCACAGTCTAAGTGCTAATTTACTCATCGCTCCCCATTTGCAAAAGGACAAAGTCAGCAGTTTGTGAGCTAAGGAGTATGCCGCCGAGCAGCTGGCCGACTCCGAGGCAGGCAAGATTCAGACTTCTGGGAACCATTGGTGTAGTGTGAATTGAAATTTGGGGTGTGGGCCGCAAGTGCAGCGTATGTGTAGACGCCAGATGTCTCCAGTGCCTCTTAAGCACGGTTCCGAGGAGAAGACGACCGAACTTGGATCCGTCCAGGAGGAGAAACTGACCATGTTGCTGGAATATTTTTGAATAGACAGCATTTTCCTGCTGGGTAGAACTCTGTCGCATTGCTGTGCTGCAATAGGGAGGGGTGCTGCGCTGCTCGAAAACGGAGCTTCTCAGGAGCTTAAGGCCCTGCTGCAAGTCTACGAGGCAATGAACGAGGAGTGCACCACAAATCGCCAGGACCGGATCGTGCTGCATGCTGTGTTTGCTTGGTGACGAAATTGAGGTTTACGCAGCGAGTCCACTCCAAAGCGAGTCCACTCGAACTTCGCCAGGAAGCGCAGAAGACGCGGGAGGAGACGATCGTGTCCCAACCTCGGCTGCAAGCTGCAGCAAACGAACTGCAGCATGGCTGGTCGAGTGGAACGGATTGCACTTCGGGCTCTAAGGTCCCTCCAGGAAACCCTCAAGCTGTTGGACAACATCACCTTGGTCAACAGCAACAGCACCGATAGCAGCAAGTAGGCTGCTCAAGACAAGGTGGCTTGAACAGGTTTCGCTGCTTGCTTTGCGACACAAGTGATCATTGAGAGACTTGACCAACCAGGTGATGAGGCCCCTGGCTTCTGCCGAACGTCCTTTGCGGCAGCTGTCTCCGCGTCCGCGGACACAATCAAAAGCGTTTCAGGGGCCACGCTCTTGTCATGTCCCATGCTCTGACCGCCTCTGTGGTATTGTTTGCAATCGAGCCAGCACAAGTGAGTCACATCGAATCGGCCCGCAGCCGTTGCAAAGACTCTAGCGACCCGCTCCGTTCGAGCGCACTTCGCGCTGAGTGGATCCGTCCGTTCCCTGAGGCAACCGCGCCGCGGCCTTGCCTGACTCACTTTCCACCCTCAGCTGTTGGGGTTAAACTGCTTCAGGCAAACAGCTTTGTCGTACTAATGACTGACTGCTTAGATGCGTATAGATTCCAACACGATGCTGTCAAGTCCCACAAACATCCATACTCCGGAATTCTGAAGTGCTGCGCTCCAAGGTGAATTGCTTTATTGTGGCGCAGAGCCCAGGCACGTTGAAGAATCCGAGCATCTAGTTGAGTGGTGTTGAAGCAAGGCGAGCTTCGCTTCATGCTTCCTTCACGAATCTTCAAACAGGTGGTAGGACGGTACTCACGGGTCATGGGCGCAGGGGGTGGCACACTGAGTTTGACCTTGGCCGTTGCCGCGTTCTCCTTTGGCTTTAACAGCATTGCAGGGCTTTTGCCGCCAGCAGTATATATATATATATTATATATGATATATTACATTATATTACATGTATATATATATATAATATTATATTCAATAGTGCCTGTAGAGCGTTAGGCCGCATGGGCCGCTTTGGTCTTGCATTGATGTCGAATGTTCAGCCGTGGAGCGTTCATCTCGTAAGGCACATTCACAGAAACTTTTGCTACACTGCGAACCAGACTGATCCAAGACAAAGGCATGATATGGCTTGATTACTTTGTCACATCGGCGTAGATTGGCCGAAAGCATCGGCGGGCATTCCTCGATGGCGCCGGCTCCATCGCCCGAGCCGGTCGAGCATCCGGCCGCCCAGGCGGAGCTGCACCGGTTTGCCGAGTAGCACTTTCAACATCAGCCTCGTGAGCGACGTCCCACCTGTTTTGAATCCAGAGGTCTGACTCATGGCTGTCGTAAACTTCCTGTGAAGCCAATAGCTGACCTTGTTGTTGCGACAGACGTGCGAGCTACAGGGGGAATGCTGCTGCCAGGCGGTATGGACCGGTGCGACGAACCTGTCGCTTCTTCCGGTAGTCTTCCTGACCTACCGTGTGGACATGCGCTTTGAGAGCGTGGTCTGCTTCCTGGCAGTACGGCAACTTTTGTCAGCAGTCTATATTTGAAACCTACGGCCCTTTAGAGGAGGAGCGGAGCTCTTAACAGCCGAAAGATGCCGAAAGCTATCGTTCTGTACCGATCTGCCGGCGGAGCGAAGGCTTCTTCACCTTGGTGACCTCGGCCACCTACCATGTGTGCGAGAGTTTGGACTACAAGTTCTTAGGCCCCAGGGTGAACGGAGTATGAGCAACACTAATGCTGTACTTTGACAAACCGACACGAATCACCAGTCCATGCTACTAGGATCCGGCAGAGTGCTGCGCCAGGAGTCAACCACTACAGGTGGCACTTTATGGACAATATCTTTGCCACAGTCACAGAGCGAAAAGGAACGGCAACAGGATCTCGTGTCGTCGGGTTGCATCTTGCAAGCAGCTGTGAGCTGGAGGCCATTACCGGCATCATGTTGAACATCATGAACTTTGCTCAGGCTAGCCATTGATTCATTGCCTTTGTGCTCCTCAGCACGAAGTTTGCCAGGGACCGAGGCCATCAGCTCTGCGCGAGTTTCGGAGCCTGGGCTGCATAATTCGTCAGGGTTTGGCAGTCAAAGGTCCAGAAGGATTGAACCGTTTGGGGCAAGCTGCTTGCACTGCACTTCGACAGCAGCAGGAGCTGCACGAGGAAGAGAGAGAGAGGCGCATTCGTGCGCGAGGGTGGGGG